AGCTGGGGCCCAACAAAATCCGGTGACCCCAATTTCGGGGCGTTACATAAAGCGCAGATTCATAAGCCCAAGTAACCACAGTGTGGACTGCCCCAGCCATTGCGTGGCCCGGCCGCCTAGCACGGACTTCCCGGCGCTAACAGAGGGCCATGACGCACCTGGCACTTTCACCCTCGCCAACGCCCGGCCGCCGCCGCCTCCTCTGCCGCCTGCCGACGCACCCCGCCACACGCAGGTTGCAGAGCGTTGCGCGGGGACGAAAGCGGAAGCATTACAAAAATATTATTTAATTTTCTTTCGGTATTTGCGCAATTTAACTGTTCCAACATGATGAAAAGTGAATTCGTTGACTGTATTCGTACAAAACACAAACGTTTTAGGGCATGGGGGGAAACATGTAAGGCCCGTGCAAAATGCCAGTGAGTTTTCTTTGACGTGACAAGTATTCCCTTCGTTTACAGGGTCTCCTATAAATCTGGGATAAAATCGTTAAAAGTGTTAAAATTTTTATGTTATTTAAATATTATTTGCTTTAATATTATGTTGATTCACGTAGAAGTACAATAGTTGTACGGTCGATTAATTTTGGTGTTTACGAGTGTGCTAGAAGAAAGAATCGACTCGGGCAGGAGGCACTGAGCGAGCGTGAAGTCGCAAGGTACTGCTTTCTCGCCGTGTGCGTTAATATTAACGCACTCTGTGAAGATATCGAGCACATATGTCAAGTCATCCAGTCGAGAATCGAGCCAGCTTCGAGAGGATCAGCATGTGCATATCCTGTACCACGTGCCAGGATAATCATAGGTGGTTGCCAGCAGGAACTTCACTTTGCGCAGATTCATGATGGTTCAACCGATATACGGTTCGACTAGTATAACGCCAAATACAAATCCCTCTCCACCCGTATTGCAATCTAGCGAAACAATAATCAAGACTGCGCAAGACTGTTGCCCGATGTGTCAGCTCCAATCGTCACAATATTTGATTACGCAAGCACAAAAAATGTATTAGTCCAAAAGACTTGACACATGTTTCTCCATGAATTTCGACGCGCTGAAGCCGAATCTGAAGCCAGAATTCCCCCACTACCCTCCAATTTGTTTTAAATCGCTAAAAAACACTGTGATATTGTATTGTTTCCTTTGTTTTCGGGGGTTGTTGTCAGACGCAAACTCTTGATACATGTTTCTCTGTGTATGTCAATGCACTGAGTCCTAATCTAAACCATAATTGCGCTACCGGCTTTCAGTTGTTTTTTTATCGCAAAAAAACATCGTCAAATTTTTGTTTTTTTTTGTTTTCGGCGGTTGTTGTCAAACCCAAAGACTTGACACTCTAACTGGAGACAGAATTGCGCAACCACAGTCCAGTTTCTTTTCAATCTTTAGGAACACCACAACCTCCCAAGATGTATTATGCACCGCACTACCAGGAACAATGACCAAAGTAGTTGACACGCCTGAATATATGAACTCAAAGCATATGTAATCATTCAAGAGTAATGTAATTAATAGTACCCGGAAGTTTGGCAAAAGTACGTTTTTTCAATTGTCACTATTTTTATGACTATTGAATTGTTATAATAGTAATTATTTCATTGTACTTCTGGAGCTGTTTTAGTAGATTTTCATTTTGCCTATTTCAGCTTCTGATACTTATTTTTGTCATTTTGACTTTTTGGACATTTTTTCTCGTGGCACCGATATCGACCAAGTTGGAAATATTCCTGCAAGACTCGACATCACGAAGGCACAGTCGCGTTTTGCCTTTCTGTGGAAGCAAAGACTTAGTTAAAATCTAAATGAAAAAGAAAAAAACCTTGCATGACATTTGTTTCATGCCGACAAAACTGTGTTCGCCCACGAGGAATCCCATTCTCCTTTTGAGTAAGGCCTCCGACCCCTTTTCAGGACAGCTTTCTGTATATGATATACCCTTCTCAGTGCTTGTGATTACTCCAGTACGAAGGACGATGAACATAATTGAGTTTTCACTGATTCCATTTCAAGATTCAAAAGAGTCTACAATAGCATTTGGAAGAGACAGTGTCGCAAGTAAAACAAATTCGTAGCCCTCCTACCAAATGGGAAGAATCAAGATTACAAAGTAAAGATAGTTTCCTTACATTTTAGTGATAACGTACTCTTAAATTTTTAAATAAAATTATGAATCACTTAAATTATTATTTTTACAATTCCGTTTAAATGTGATTGTTCATTATTTACATGCCTATTTGCGCCCCTACTTTACCTGGAATTAATGTCTTTTTGCGTGCCTATTGTCGGTAAAATAAATTGGACCTGGACTTTCTGGCTCTAGTAATTGAATAATGTCTGCTCTTCGTTGAATTGGCCCACTGCGCGTCGCTGCGGGAGCAAACGAGGCCAGCGCCGCGTGACAAGGTGAAGAGCCGTCTTCCTCGAAGCATGATCCGCCACTTTATGCAACTGGCGGATGCGCATTTCGTGGGTCAATGTACGAGTCGAACCCTCGCCTGCCTGCAGTGCTGCCGGTACTGTTAGAGATATCGGGGCCGGCGAAGGAATTGTTCTGTGTGTGTGTGTGGCTGTTTGCAGGTCAAGATACTCCCATTCTTCTTTTGAAGCAGACTTTCTTTGTTTTGATAACACTGCGCTCCAGTAACACTGCCCTTATTCTACGGTCTTTCTGTTGCTTAAGGTCAAAAGTTATGAATAATTCATTTCATGTTTTAGTTTAGTGTTTTAGTGGTAGGGTTATTCGCTTTATCATTGTTACATTTTCAATACTAGTTTGTGTTTACAATGAAACGCAATTAAAATGTACTGGTACTCCTTGAAATTGATCCTTTGTTTTATATTGCTTTGACTAAAACTCGTGTATTAGTTCCTGAATAAATAACGAAAATATCAGTAACTAATAACAATAAGACGTTTTAAATAGCGGTATTTTCTCGTCTAATGCATCTTACGTCATCATTTTGATTCTTTTAAAATTATCCAATAAAATGTTTAAATTGTATCCTGACTGCTCAGCGTTTCAAATTACGACTAGCACACACTCAACTTCTACATATGCCAGCCATATTGTCAAGACATATTTCATTAATTCTTTAAATAAAAAGACCACTGTTTTATTATTCCTCTATAAAATGTGTTTGTTTATTAAATGATTCTCTATTACTACTAAGTTGGAATTTATGAGATTAGTACTTTTGCAAATCATACATTAAATAAACAGACAATAAAAAAGACATAAAATACAGTATAAAAATAAGCTTGTGATGATACACACTGGTTTATAAAAGAAAAACAATAAAGGGAAATATGTGAATACACATTAACAAATAAATGTCGAGAAATTGCCTTGTATACAGTATGACATACGTACATAGTATGACATTTGCAAAATACTTGTCAACGTAAGCATTTCAAACCATTTCTATACTCTTGCATGTTGCTTAAAAACGCTGCTTGTGAAGATTATGCCAATTGTAAATGTCATTGCATTTTTACTATTCAGTATTTTGACATTTTCTGTCATCCGTACCAGTGCCTTTCTTTTATACACATTTCATCTTCCTCGTCTTTCTACTATACTCTTCTTGTGGGTGGACTGTTTTGAAAGGAATCAAATCGTGTTTTGCTTTCACTCCTATTTTAGGTCATTTGTCATGACGCAGCATCTTTCCACCTGTCTCACTTTCATTTCACCTTGCCGAGAATTTCAAAAATAGAAGGTTGGAGAATATCAAGACGATCGCAACAATTTGAAATTATACCAATAAAATAGAAATAATAATAATATAAACTATAACATAAAAATAGTAAAAAAATAATAAATAATGATCAAAGATGAAATAAACAATTAGAGGAATGTAAATTATACAACAAATTGAAAAACAGATTTGTGTAGATGAAAAAAACAAGATTTTGATATATTCATATGTAAGGGCCAACAGTTCTAATAGCTTCAATCACCGTTACACCGCCAAAGCAAACTACAAACGGAACTAGATATGAATTTTGTCTAAATGACTTCTTTTTGGCCATATTTTAAATTATTCACATCATTCACAAAAACGTTGTAAACAACCATTCCAAAGAAACACTCCATAACATCTGCTCTGATCCCCATAGACTTTGTATGAAATGAGGGGGATTTAGAACCTGGTAGCTTAAAGACAATCATTTGCGTGATTTGCGGCATCGTGATATAGCGACAATTAATATTTTCGAAAATAAAAAGAAAATGAGGTTTTCAGAGTACTCAGGCAGTCCACTATTTTCTTGAACCAGACATCTTAGAGCTGATTTTATATTGGGCAATTAAATTTAGTATTCCATACGTGAACGGTCCTTATTCATAAAAAGCACTTATTCTCAAATAAGTGGATTTTATTCGAACACGGAAGGTCATCCGCTCCTTTATGTTTTCCTCGTGCTGCCTTAACTTTACTTGTTTCGGTTATGAGTTTAGTACGAGACACTCGTTTAGGACAATGATTTCGCAAAATATTTTGAATTTTATATCCAACTCACAATTTATATCAGGAAAGGTACGTCAGAATCACTGGTTATCTATTGGCATTGTAAATTATAAACTATCTCGTAATTGTCAAAACAAGTTATATGCTCTTTGTACTAAACAATATTGAGTAAATCCACGTTACTCAGTCACGAAAGAGGTGATGGGATATACAAGTTGCCACGTTTCTAAACACTACAGGAAGCGTTTATTCTGCATTCATGAAAACTTCTATATAACACGCGCCTTATTTAATCAATCTTGACTGTCATTGTGACGACTAAGTGACGTATTTAATCACCGGGAGAGGTGCAGAAGGACATCAACTGATATCACTGTAGTGACTAGGTTCGAGTCCTGACTATGGCAGGATTTTCGCCACTGGCCAGATGGCTAGATCGAGTTCTGCCGCTGTCTGGAGGAGAATTCTAGTGACCAGGTGCTCTGATAGGTGGTTTCTCAAACCATCACCGGGTGAATGCCGGAGAAGCACCCTAAAAACGCGCCATGGACCGCGCGCGATCTTTCTTTCTTCTCTTCCTTGTTCTATCCTCACCCCTTACTTACATACAATTACACTTACATACACTACACTATCATACATGCTGCGAGATTAGATCTTGCCTCTTGGCTGGGTGGTGCCTCACTGGTGGGAGAAACCCAGTTGGGAAAAACCTCGCTAGCCAACGGTAGGTCGGCGCTGTATCTCGCCATCCAGGTGGGAATATCCGAGGGAAAACATGCACTATACATACGGTACCTTAGCTGTCGACTGTCAGGAATAATTGGCACTCGATCAATCTTATTTAATCAGTCATCTATTACTTAGGAACTTCCTAATTCGTCCTGTGTCGACCGCGAATCCGGCCCCTCCTGTGACATAACACGTCTTCCCCCATTTCGCCCGAGCCGGAGCGGGAAGAGACGCGTGTGTTCGCGCGCGCGGAGACCGGAACCAGCCTCTGGGCTCCGGAGCGCCCGGAACAAAGGCCGCGCCGCATCCGGCTCGCGCGGCGGCGCAACGGCGCGTCAACGCCGCCGCCACCTTCCCCGCCACTTTCCCTTTCGGCGCTCCCGGGAGCGGCGCGGCGCGGCGCGGCGCGGAGAAGAGAAGATCCGGCGGGACTCCCGCCGCCCCCTCCCCCACCACCACGGGCACGCACAGTGGGATACCTTCCCACCACGGATGACAGGCGAAGGTGGCTCAGGGCATCACTGCAGTGTCCCTGACCGGGAGGCCTGACGGTGGCAGGATTTGCTACACTAGCTTGGTGGAATTCAGTAGCAGTCTAGGGGAGAATTCTAGCGGCTGCCCGCTCTGATCGGTAGTTTTCCGTGGCTTCTCCGGTAAACTCCTGGCAAATGCCGGAGTAGTACATTAACCAATGGGCCACGGACAGCGTGCCATCTTTCCTTCCTCTTCTTTGTCGCATCCTCACCCATTACTTACACTCATATGCACTACACAACAAAACATGTCGGGAGACCAGACGGGAGCTTTGAGCTTCTCCCGACTGGAGAGGTGCCCCTCTGGTGGGAGATACCTGGTAGTGAGAAATCCCAGCTCGTCGACCTGGGTCGGCGCCGGATCTCTCTGGCGAGCGTGGAAAGATCACCCCCACCTCCCGCGATGAAAACATGTACTATACTTACGGAACTAATGAATTTAGCATTTGGCGTTCCCGGAATCACTAATCACTTACTCAATTAACACAGTACAAATGGTCTGTGGAAAGGGGCTGATCTAGGGGGCTGAAGTGACGTATCTCCCGAAATATTGTTCATAAAGCGGGTATAACAATGCAAGAAAAGCAATGCACGTTATCTGAAAATTCGCTACACTCTGTTGGTGCTCTTACTTCCACATACACTCAAGCGCTCGCAGAGTGAGATTCATCTCCCGGGGCCGAACTAATAAATTTAGGGGTCGTAAGTCAGACCAATGTATTAGTCTCAATAATAATATTCAAATATTGAACTTAAAAACTTAATTAATAATAAAGAAACTAGAACATTTTAATTAAAAATTTAGTGTTCAAATCATAATACTGATATATAGAAGATTATATTATATGAAATCCTCTTGAGTGTACCAAAACGGGCCCTGCTGACCCTCTGTGATTACTGGGTTGCTTAAAAATCAGGGGCAATTGCCACATGTATAAATGTATACAACCACGGTTAATGAAATTCCCTACTACCCGTTCATTGGCGGCAAGTCATCCATTTCAACTCCTTTTCGTGGCAGAAATTTGTAACATTTATTCTGACCAAACAAATGTATGCGTATATCTACAATTTTGTAAAGCTTCTTTTAGTTTCATTTTGAATTAGCATTTTGAATTTCATTTTAAATCGGCATTGAATTCATTTTTGGTATCGTAAATAAAATGATTAACACCATAATATTTTTATTTGTGAACTAAAATACATGTTTGTTGAGAAAGTTATTAGTTCCTTATCCTGAGGTCGTACCCACGTGCTCAATATGCTTCTGTATTAATACATTTCTGATTTTTCCAAAAGCATCAAACTCTGTATTGCGGTAGTTCGCCGGACCAAGAGCCACGACCCCCTCCCCCCCCCCACACACACACACACACAAATAACGTTGGAAAATTATTTCATTTTGCTAGAATGAAAGCAATAAACATATAATTTACACGGACACACCAAAGAAAGGTGTCAGTCCCAAAGACTTGGCACATGTGGACGCTCTGAATCCGAATCTAAAACCATAACTGCTAATTTTTGTGATTTTACAATTATAAGTTTGAAATGAATGTTTTAATATATGTAGTAGATTTCAGAAAACCAGAGAAGATCTGAAATCAGAGTAAATATAAAATGAAATGTTTACCATTTTCGCCCAGTCAGGCAAATCAATGTAAACAGAATGGATTGAAGAATAAAGAGAGTAAAATAAAATAAAATTATTTGAGACGTTGTCTTTGCCAATCATATTGTTTATTGTAAAAGCAGCTTTTGATGGCTTATTCATCATTATCAATTTCCTGATACAAAAACGTAAAAACGCATTGAAACATTCAGTTAAGAACTAACATATTACTAACACATGATTAATGTATTAGTAATATACAGAGTTTATTATACATAATTTTCAAAATATAATCAACATCATAGCAAGTGAAAAAAAGAAAAGAGGCGGGAAGATAAATCATTTAATATTACAGTAATTTTGTGAAACTATCCAAGAAAGTAAATGAAATTGAAAACGTGTAAAATTTATTAACAGACACATGAAATGTAAGTTGAGCCGTTTCTTACATGTTGTTTAGAAGCCCAAAACGTCAACGGGGGATCAAGCAGGCCTAGCGGCTTAAGAACAACTGAAAGAGAGACGAAAGAAATTTAAATTTGGATAAGGATTTAACCGTTAAAGTCGATGTTTCGTAATTCCCTCAGTTTTGGAATTTATAATTCCTCGAGGAAACAAAACAATTCGAAACTGGACCTAATATATTATATTCGTACGCTATGTTTCGTCCCGGAATCGGATGTGAGAGAACCACCGTGCTCCTCTGCGAGCACCTTGGCCGTCACCGCCGTGCACCACGCCCACGCCCGCCTCCCCCACCCCATGACGGGCGGAGCCTTTCTCGGAGACGGAGCGCGGGCGGCAAAAGGATGCGCTTTCTCCTTCATTGGGCCCCGCCAGCCCCCGGCCGCCGCCCGGCAGCGCCACCGCCAATAAATACGACAGCCCCCGCTGCCCGGTACCTCACTCACTTCTCGCCGACGACGAGCCCGCAGTGTTCCGGCCACGGTGAGTACCTCCGCCCACTGGCTGACACATCGACCGGGAACTTCGTGTGTAAGACGCTGCCATGAATGACATAATATGCGTGTTTACTCTCGGCTTCAATGACACTAATGCAAGTTACAAAATAGTCGTGAACGTTTCACTTTTCATGAGGAACCTGTAGGTAATTAGGAATCTGGCGGAATTCCATCATTAAAACGTTGTGTCTGTACTAGAATGTATATTAGACTTGTTTGTAATCAAAAACTTGCTCGAACTCTGACAATTAATGATATAGTGTTGTCACGGGCATAGAGTTTTCAAACATTATTATGGGCAAATGTTATTCAATCATATTAGTTATATACTGATATTAATCATTTCATCATTTCCGTTGTGATTATAAAGTTCAAAACTATAATGCGTTAAAATTGCTCGTGTCTACATATGTATTACTGTGGTATACTGCATAATGACTAGATTTTTTGTTTGAATAATTTATTTTTCATCGTATATTATGGGATTATGTTTTGGTAGGTGTATTGGATTAAACAGAGTAATTTATATTTATTATTCAATCTTCAAACTCCCATCCAATATATTCTGAATCACCGGTTAGTCTTTACATTAATTCACATGTTTAGTGTAAGCAGGTCTAAACTGTTACATAGTTTCACTACAAAACGTCGTGTATTTGCGTTCAGAAACGTACAAATGCGGTTCCTCAATAGGGGTACACAAGCGCATGTACGTTCTGACTAATTCATTGACGATCGCACTAACACATGCACAAGTGCTCGTATTTAAGTACTCAAACACATGCGCAGTCCCCCATTTGCACAATTAGACTCACTCACATGCACATGTTTACGTTTGCATGTGAATGCTCAAGTACTTGCACTAAACACGTCTGATTGACATTTGCATGTTCAGACATATTTACATACACATGTGTGCTTACATACTACTAGTACCCTTGGAAGTACTTGTTTTGAGTACATACATTCACACACATTCATTATCCATCGTCAATCGTCCATTCACGTGTACACTCTCTCTCCCACCCCCTCTCTTCCTCTTCCACTCCCCTCTCTCCCTCCCCCACCTCCCTCCCCTCTCTCTGTCGCCTTTCTCACTGTTTACCTACCTCTCTGATACACACACACACACACACACACACACACGTACTCTCAAATGTGCTATGCGTACGTATGTGCCCTTACAACAGACACCCCAATACTCGCAGTGAAGAGTGCTCACACTCACGCACGTTACACTCACACGGGCTCACACATACACACGCACACGGACGGACTCTTATACACACTATCACTCGCACATGCAGAGACTTACACTTACAGGTATAGAAGCCCACGGATGCATGCTCTTAAACTCAATGACACATAAACGGTCAAACACGTTCAAACTCAATGACATATACACGGTCGCTCAGCCACCCACACTCACACATACACACACAAAATGTGAGTTCCGACGTTCGTGCCCAGCGGCACGCACTCGTATGAAAGCTCACTCACACACACATACATCGACGCAGGGGCGACCGCCCCCCACCCGCTCGCACGCCGCGCGCACGCGTGGGCACGCGCCGTATGTGTGACGCGCGGAGGCGCGTGGCCGGCGACGCGCGACGCCACGCCCCCTTCTCCTTCCTCGCAGCCGCCGCCGCCACCGCCGCCGCCAGCAGCCCCACAGCGCCAGCGCCGGTCCCGTTAGCGCCGCGGCCCCGCGCCACCACCTCCGCCACCGCCGCAGTCGAGGAGGCTGCGCTATGCAGCGAGCACCGCTCCGCCGCCAGGGCGCCGCCCTGGCGCTGCTCTCCGCCCTCGCCCTCGCCGTCGCCCTCGCCCCGGCCACCGCCGACGGCCCGCCCGCCAACGGCAGCCGCGTCACCTTCGGCGAAGAGCGCGCGCCCGGGGAAGGAAGGTCGCTGGGCGAAGGGCTGCCGCTGGGCGAAGGACGCTCGCTGGGAGGGCTCAGAGAAGGTAGGTTCTGCTCGGGAACGTCGCGCACTGTTTCATCCAATGCCAAGTACAGAGAAGTTACTTTAAGAAGGGACCAGTTTGACATAAACCAATATGGAGTATAGAGAAGTTAGTCTAAGAAGGGACCAGTTTGACCATCTAATATGAAGTCATCTATTGAGCTACCTGCAAACGAACACATTTACGAATCAAGGGCATCAACATTTGCCGTTTTATTGCCAGGAGTAGCCAAGTAGTACTTGTCTAAGCGGTTCCTTTCTAGATTAACCTCCCCATACTAGGTACAGCAACGTCTTTGAATGTAGAGCTATTTTTGAATGACGTTTAATGCCTTTATTGTTAAACCAGATCCATAATGGTCGTGTATAAACAGACTAATGTCAGTGGCAATGACCATTCGGTGTAATTCCTTATTACAAGAGACAGTATCATGTACTATGAAATTAAGCTGATTTGTTATTAATATTTTCGCAGAGTACTGAGGTCAGAAACATACAAATGACTGTTCCGGGTGACGCCGGGTCACGGGCTACAATGCGTTTGTTTCGACCATCATGTCGTCCTCTTCTTCCAATCTTGAAAACGACCATGGACAAAACGTTCCCGTAGCTGTTGACACTCTGCTGGCGTCACCCGGACAGTCATAGGCATGATAGATTATTTTAGACCCAAGTAATTCACTCCATCGTCTATATGATGTTTTTATATTTTCCCGGCTGCTTTCTTTTAAATATAAATGGAGTGCTTACGGAATGTTTCCTATTCCTAAACAACACAAAACGAATAATACTTTTTTTCTATAAACAACCTCAATACTTTCATGAGCACGCAAAAGAGAACACGCGTTTTAAACTTCTCTCTTCGAAAACCAGTTTGGAGATAAACGAGCGCAGGCCTTATAACTGAACCATAAGTTCACTGTCATTCGAAGTTTCTTTTCTTTTAGATCGATCTTCCTGTATACAATTCGTTCGTGTAATGTGTACTTAATTGCAAAGGCAAAGAACTAGAAGGGAGAGTTTTCCAGGTGTGAAAGTTAGCGAATATTACTTTATATTCCAACAGGTAATGACGAATACTTTGCTGAAACCTCATTCGGTCTGGCCAAACCGGTAGTCGAAACGGCGCTCCCCACTATGCAGGACGATCGTGAAAGACGGCACGTGCTGCAGTCTTCGTCTTACATGACAGTTCGAGAACACTTCTCTCCAGCGCATTTCCTTGAGAGAGATTTGGTTTACCTTTAAAGATATTTTGCACAGATTGATGTTAATTTGATAAACATTTACTCCTAAAATGAATATTTTTCAAATTCTTTAGAGAGTTGTATTAAAAAATTATTAATGGGGAAATTACCCCCTCCTCCTGAGAAAATGTAATTATTTAGATTTCAGAAATATTTTCCTTTTTGTTGGCATGTTTAAACAGAAAATATTTATCTGATCTATTAAAACTCCTTTTTCCGTGAACAATTTACAGTACTCGTGACACGAATCTTAAATTTTATTCCTCAGAAAATAAAATAGGATAAATCATTGCATTATTTAATGAAAACATTTGGCAAGAAGAGAGTGTTCTGCGATAGAGAAGAAGAATACATTGTACTTTCGTTAATCCAGCCATTCCTTGGACATATGGGTGGGGGATTAGCAGAAATGCCAGGTTATTAAGAGGGTTTGAAATTAGTATAAACACGTAGGGACTATACAGTTTATTACATCCAAAGATACTATACATTTATTTACACAGAAAATTTGTGGCTTATCCACCATTGCACTCACCGTATCTAAAATTTCGAGCTTCTGCTTGAGGTCCAGCGTTTCCTTTTACAAGCCCCAGGTCTGAACTGTACTCTAAGAAAGTTACAACTTCATATGTGAATAGCAATGTTTAACATTTTTAACTAACAACACGTTGCTGTACATAATAATTCATTGTTTTGCGCACTATTTGTGATTGAGCCACTAGAGGCCGCATGTAGACTGAACTTCTAAGGGCCGAATTAGCGAGAGTTTAGTGTATTTCTCATTGCGATTACTCTACGTCAGTCATGTACAGCCAAGTCAGAATCTTGCAAGCACAACAAGCCATTGTGTCATGTTAGCTGACAATTTACGTCCTTTAATTTGTAAATATATTGAAATAAATGTAATTTACTCTTAAGAAACAAACTCCCTCGCCACAATAATTTTAAATAACGAGTCAATGAAATATTGCTGCATATTTAGCCCAAGCATTAAATAACGCCAATAGCTCCAATGCAGTTGCAAAATTGGTCTCATCATCGTGCAACAAACTGCACCCACTAGATTCAATATATGGAGTAGGCTATACACAAAGCTTTAAATTTCAACACGATCCCTTTTATTGCCTCACAATCGTGCATTAAACCGAAACCGAAAACCGAAATTTAAATGCAATTATTTTTTACTCAATAGGATTACAATGTATTACAATATATTTTTCTATAACCATTTAAGGTATATTATATTTTTCTTTTGTTATATTATTTTAATTAATTTTTCCGGTTTATTTTATTTTTACAATCTTCCGTGTTTAAATTTTTCTCCTTCATTTTCTTCAATGTCATACCTTCCATCCATATTATTTTCGGTCTACCTCTTTTTCAATTGCCAGTAGTCATCCAATCTTCTTTCCCCTTCATCTCATACAGTTTTTACTATTTTGTGACGGAATAAATCTAACTCTAAATTTAATACATTCAGTAGAAGCCATGTTTCATCCATCCTTTGAACATGACCATACCATTGAAGCTGTTTTATTTCTATAAAATCTAATAATGTTCATGGATTTTCATATTGTAACATTCTTTATTTTGTGCGATTTAAAAATACTTGCCGAACTTCTCCAAAAGTCCATCTCAGTTGCTAATAATTTTAAATTTGGTTTAGATATTACATAGCAAGTTCCCGCTTAAGCTAAATATGTTATAACAATTTTTATTATATTATTATTAAAAGGCAATTATAGTTTTTAAATAATTGTATAGGCTTACATTTGCAATTCAGTTTATATTTCAATTTAAATTACTGTTTCACGTGAAAGAGGATTGTCATGATATTAAAGGGATCGTTTTTGAAATTCAATGTCAAATAACAATGAAACTAACAAGAATGAGTGGATCTCTGCATTGCAAATGGCTACGTTTCTGACCACGCGGTTTCCCCCCAGGCAAGAACCTGCTGGACTGGATCGGGCTGGGCACGGGCCCGGAGACGGACCCGTACCTGGCTGAGGCGAACGCGGCGTGCCTCACGGGCGACCTGGCCGAGTGCTTCAAGTCGCGCGCGCTCGCCTCGCTCGACGACTTCTTCGACCGCGACGCCTACCCCATGACGGAGAACGCGCGCGTGGTGCGGCTGCCGCGCGCCCAGCTGCGCTCGCTGCACGCCGAGCCCTTCGAGTACTCGGTGGCCCCGCGCGCCGACGAGCCCGAGTGGGACAAGCTCGTCAAGTTCCTGCTGCGCCGCGCCGAGCGCTTCCTCAAGTCCACGGCGCTCGAGCTGCAGTTCCCCGCCGAGGTGACGCAGAGCGGCCGCTACTCGCCGCGCTTCATCGACGAGATCAACTCGGAGCTCGACGTCCTCGAGGACAAGACCGCCAGCCCCTTCTGTGAGTACCGCGCCTTACTTTCTCTCGAGCGTTGCGTTGCCTTATGGACACTCAAGCGAGACTCTACGTTGCCTTTCGGACACTCTGTTGATGCTCTACGTTGCCTTACGGACACTCAAGCGAGACTCTCTCTACGTTGCCTTACGGACACTCAAGCGAGACTCTCTCTACGTTGCTTTACGGACACTCAAGCGAGACTCTCTCTACGTTGCTTTACGGACACTCAAGCGAGACTCTACGTTGCCTTACGGACACTCCGGTGATGCTCTACGTTGCCTTACGGACACTCAAGCGAGACTCTCTCTACGATGCGCGTTGCCTTACGGACACTCAAGCGAGACTCTACGTTGCCTTACGGACACTCTGGCGATGCTGTACGTTGTCTTCCGGACACTCAAGCGAGACTCTCTCTACGTTGCCTTCCGGACACTCAAGCGAGACTCTCTCTACGTTGCCTTACGGACACTCAAGCGAGACTCTCACTACGTTGCTTTACGGACACTCAAGCGAGACTCTCTCTACGTTGCTTTACGGACACTCAAGCGAGACTCTACGTTGCCTTACGGACACTCTGGTGCTGCTCTACGTTGCCTTACGGACACTCATGCGAGACACTCTCTACGTTCCCTCACGGACACTCCAGTGATGATCTACATTGCCTTGCGGAAACTCAAGCGAGACTCCCTTTACGTTGCTCCAGAGATACTCGATGTTGCTTTTCGGACACTCAAGTAAAATTCTCTCTCTCTCTCTCTACGGTGCCTTACGGACACTCCAGTGATATTCCATGTTGCATGATGGACACTTCAGTGTCACTCTGTGTTGCTTTCCGGACACTCATGTGAGGCTCTATGTTGCCACACGGACACTCGAGTGACTAAGTAGTGTTTCCGTGCGTGTCATCTGCTATGGTCAGCATGTTATAAGCCGGAAGGCGCGTGCTTCTGCCCTGCCGAATCGTGATACCGGCACCAACCTACACGTCGGCTTGTGAGGTTTCCCCTCCAAGTATCTCCTCCTGTGGGTCACATCTCAACCGCAACAAGTTCTAAGCTTTCGACTCGTCTCTCGATAAGTGTGGTGGAGTAGTGCGTGCAAATGTATACTTCGATGAAAACATTAAATCATATTTCCAGATTAGATGACACCGTCACAGCTGACGACGTGTCAACGGACTTAATGTTTTAATCGAAGTATAAATGTGTGTGTGTGTGTGTGTGTGTGTGTGCGTGCGTGTGTGCGCGTAAGGGATGGATGAGAACGGGAAACGCGTGCAAGGTTTGTGTCCCGTTTTTAAAGCAGTGCTCCCGCATTCCTTGATAATGGAAACTACGGCTAACTAGCGATCAGAGCAGTCGACTGCTAGAATTCCATTCCAGGGTTTGAATTCGATTTTTATCCACCTACTGACAAAAATCCTCCACCGTCGGGACTTGACCTCTGGGACTTGCTGCAGAAGCAACGTAGGCGTTGACCCTTCGCAGCCGTTGCGAATACTCGTGTGCTGCACACACTTTTAAATTACTCTCAGACTTTCAAAAGTCAGGGCATTTAACCCACATTCTCATCGCGTTATTCTCTTTGTTGTGTAGCACGTTTCATGCATTATACATATTTTGACAAACTATGACACTTTGTTGGAGCACAAGAAATGTAGCATATCCCAAAAATCGGCTTTTTTAGTAAAGAAAAGAAATTTGTTTAAGAGTAAATTATTTTGACTACACAATTTTCAGAAAGATGTCACAAGAAAGACGGTATAGTATATAGTATAATAATTTGTGTTTAGTTGTTAAACAACGCCGCCACTTCGGAGAAAAAACGTTATTTTATAAAATGGCGTCTCCCCTTGTGCACCGTCAACTGACGATAAGAATATAGTTTATTCATTGCAATATTACGTTTATTACATATGTTTATATTGTAGCATGATAGTACGTAGCTAACGCTAAGTACTGTGGTTATTATAAACATATGTAACATTACATCGCATAGTGCTCCGCATTTGACAGCGAGGCCAAATCTCAGTCGAAGTTGCTGCGGTCGAAGTGGGTTTAAGAAAGGTTTTCTCGAGATTCTCCTGAATTTTTGCTTCCCATTTGATAATCATTATTCATGGCAATTATTAACTTTCAATGGCCCTTTAAAGTATAGACATGATCTGGTGCAAGGGAAAGCATATAAAGGATTCATACCTTTATTTTTATGTTATTCTATTGTCAAGTGAATTTATGACAATTAACAATTGTAATTCGTCTCATACTTGTCACACGGCTGATTTTTAAACCTTCTGAAGACTGCAAAATGTCCAAATAATATGACTTCCACAGAAAGTTACCGTTCATGCTTTTAGGATGCGATTCCATGTACAATGAATGCGTCGTTTTTTTTTCGTAATGAAAATTTGGGGTTTGTTCTCGAGAAAAATAAATTTTCGAATTGAAACATCTGTATTTCGAAACGGCAAAATATTGTATAATGTCACATGTTAAATATGTTTGCAGAAACAAATAACAAACTCTCTTTTGTTGGTTGTAGTGGAAGGATAGCTTATTCATAGTGGTGACGTGAATTTCCTTTATGCTGCAACCATATGGTTCGGCCACCCTTTAATTACATCATGACTAGAAAAAAGCAAGACATTTAGCCCATCATTTCAATGCATCATATTCTTTGTCGTGATTCAGGGGTGTTAAAATGTTCTGACATACTATTACACTTAGTATGTTTTGGACTTCAACAATTTATAACTGTAGAATTGAAGTTTTTGTCTGCTTCACAATAACATACTCTCACTGCGTCATGATCTTGGTATTTACTCATGAAATTACTCGCCTATATTTATAAAAAAAACATTTCTGATTATACAAGAACCATTCCTTTCTATTCATAAACTATGGACCACTAATTTTCTATAATTTCATTGTTGAAAAGAATAAGAAACGAATTACTGCGTGTTTTTTTTTCTTGCCATAAGTGTATCAATTCCATTTCAATATATGATTTTGTAGAATATTGTTTATAAAGAAACTGGAAGAAAGGTATAATATCGGAGCTCTACAATGAATATTGATATCAAGTAATTGTTTTAATTAATGACTTTCACTTTTGAAATATTCATGCTGCGGAAATTTCCAGATGAATCTCTCGCAGTTCCGTGGTTTAAAATATTACTTTCAGTATTACCTTAATGATTATTAAAAACCTGACTTTACCACAACGAACAGTACAACCGCTTATAATGCTACACGTGTTGATTGAAGCGAGATGAAATATCTTCACATTTAATCACCCCGAGCATAAGTTTTCTCGTGATAATTGTATGCATGCCCACCGCCAGAAGATGTATCAGAGTGCGCGAGCGTGACGTCAGTGGATGACGTCTTTCTCCGGAGAAAGAGCCGCGAGAGAGCTTCTTTGGACGCATGTCCTTCCTCGCCGCCCTACTTAGCACGGAGATCGCTGCTCGGGCTGGCGACCGCACGCGCGTAGTCAGACGCCGCGCCGGGCGCGACTCGATGGCAGGGGCGGCGTCTCCGGGGGGGGAAGGTCTCATGAGAGGAATGTCGTTTTTTCTAACGGCTGTAATTACACGGCATTTATTACACGTTTAAGTCGCGCATTTAGTACTTACTGTTAGTGTGCGTTCCTTTGTTCTTAATCAATGACTTTATCCTGTTTGGCATAATGTTTACCAAAATGTTTCACCCGGGTTTTTTAATTTCATCGTCGCGGTACCAAATCACTAGTTTTTCGACGACTTCCTGTATATTTCCATATTCTTCTCTTGGTAATACCCCATAAATTTTCAATGGGGTTCAAGTCAAAGCTATTACGTGATCATGGTAATACTTTAAATTGCTTTTTCTTCCAAAGTCTTGAAGATACTGTTGTCTTTGTGGTACTATGGTTCATCATGCATAAAAATGCCATCTTCATAAGCGAAACACCCGAATTTGGGGGAAAAGTTCCTTTTCAAGGATTTTTCTGTGTTGGTATTGCCTCATTGTCCCTTCGACGATGTGTAATCTGCCAGAACCTTTCACAGACATCACACTTGACAGCGTTTCTCTCCAATTATATCATGGGACTTAGAAAAGATATGTTTTAATGTAATAATTTGAACACGTCTGTTCTCTCAACATGGGAAAGACCTCTTTAGTCTAATAATTTGAACACGTCTGTACTTTCAACAAAAAAGGGTTTCAAATTTTGTTTTTTGGGGGGGGAATCTTCTTAGCTGATTTGTATAGGTATTTTCTGCGAGCTAAGAACGCATCAGTACTCTGTTCGTTTCCATACCCACAGTTTAGTTACAATTTGATCTAGTAAGATATGGAAAAATATAATAAATCGCAATAAAAATGAAAAGTAATCGACTTTTAAAATACCTACGAACAGAACTTTAGATAAACATTGAAGATAGCTTTATTATTCTTAACATTACATCCTACAAAGGCTGTAATGTCCAATGACGTATATTTTCTGGATCTACTTGTTAAATGCAACCTTGGGAAACGCGCCACGCCTATCAATGCGCGGTAGTGGTTAAGGGATCACCAAGAAGAAATATTTTACCAAAGGGTATACTACCCTCTTTGTCGTCGTATTACATTCTCATTCTAACTTCCTGCGTCTCATACGTTTCTAGAGACTCAGAGCTGCAGTTGCCTAGCTAAACAGAGAAAATGTTAAAATGTGAACAAATGGTGGGAAGTCAGCACACATAAAATGGTAAGAATTAGGTGAAAACATACAAAAAATTTTTTGTCGTTGGTTTGTGTTATCAAATATATTTGCTTTGATGTGGTAGGGGAAAAGTACAATTTTTGAGGTGATAACTACGAGGATATTTATTTTGATCAAGTTATGAACATGCGCACTCTTTTTAGACTCGTGAAAAAGATCACAATCAATCGAAGTCGCTCTGTGGAGGAACTCTTAACCTTTCCTCTCGTGAGACTCTTGAAATGTCACCGCTAATATCTCTCTGCGCTCCTACAACAAGACGAAGAAACGATTCAGCTCCTACAGCAAGACGAAGAAGGGAAGAATCTTCTCCCTTGAACTGAAATCTATTGGCTTCTTTTTCAACCGCTTGTATGCAAGGCTCAGACGGGAACAGGGCAGCAGGTCGGTGTAATCTTTCGGAACAGGGCAGCAGTCGGTAAACCTAACTGATAGATCTTTTTCTCTTCTCCCATCTCAATATGGCTTGTTGTATGTTCAATTAGGAGCAATTTATGCAATTGTCATCTTTCCTTCTCTTAACAAACACTCTCGAGTCCCCCACTGTCTTCACGTTACACAAAATATTTCTTCTTAATCCCCACAGCCGTGTTGACTTCAAGTGTTTGAGAAAGTAGGTTGAAGAGGTAGGGAAAGAGCTTGACTAAATCACGCTTTAATACTTGTTTTATTTTGTTTCTTTAAAAAGAAAATTCGTGACTATATAAGTCGTTTGTAATTTAATCCACAAATCCAATTGCTTAATTATAAAATATAATTAACGAATGCAGTAATAAATTTAAGCTCCTCCGTCCCAAGAGGAAATTCGCCTGAGCCAGTTTCATTGATAAATAAATTGCTTCTTTATTTCTATAAAAACAAACACATTTCGCAAAATAAATACTACATCGTTCATGGTCTTGAACTCGGGCACACTTTGCAGTTGAACAACTGCGAATTTTTAGTTATGATATTTTTATAACGTTTTATAATAATAATATTAAAGGATTTATATGAATCCTGAACGTTAGATGCTTGTATTTCAACCATATACGAACCTCAAACACTTTTATCTTACAACTTAGTTTTTCGAACTGTAACAGCATTAAAGCT